GTCTTTGTCTGCGAGAGCTTCCCCGGACTTTATGAAGTACGGTCGGCTGGTGCCTCGGCAAGAAAGGGCCCAGCAGTGTCGAGTCTAGACTCGTCGTCCGCACCGCCGAATTTTAATCCGATACTATCAATCACGATCCATCAATAGTTCAGCTAAAACGAACCTAATTATTATTAAACATCCCTACCCCGGGGAAACCATTTCCGCCTCCCGCGAAACGATCGAACCGTCATGTCGGAATCCTTCCTCCCCACTTTCCTCCTAGAAAATATATATTTTTCCGAAAAAGGAAATAGAATTTAGAATCATATCAAATAAAAATGGGTCCAAACGATCGCCGTCTACTGAATAATGTACTATTATCCCTTTCAGGGAATTTGTAACCCAACTCCCAGGTTCTCACTCTTCCCCTTCCTTCCGCAAAAGTAACCAGGCTACGGGAAAGGCGGAAAGAGGAGCCGGCGGTCCCAAGGGTGAGGAGAGTATGGGGATCTTTTCCCCTTTCATGCCTTCTCGCTGGATCCCCGGCAACCTTTCCTCAGTTTCCGGGGGTGTTTAACACTTCCGAGAACAATTCCAATTCGCCTCCACTCATTGGTGGACGAGGATCCATTTGCTGGCTCCTGGTTTCTGTTTTGTTTCGCATGGGGTTTGCGATTCAGCATTCATCACACAATTAGATGACGACTACCTGTCCATTCCTCTGTATCCATCTGCAGAAAGGGTCACCACATACATACATGCCTTGATGGATGTAAGTACAGCAAAGTACTTTTGTCCTCCGTATCACCGCCCATTCCCGGGGGTTCAGACCTCCTACTGGTTACATCCGATCGCAGGATCAATCGAGCGATAGGTCGAATCTCATCCCATGATCCCGGGTCCAACCCTGCATTGCCGCCCCGTCTGGCTGTTTCTGCAACTGCATCGACTATCCCAATTTATTTAGTATTATTAAATCTTTTACAGATTGAATAATTATTCCCCGGCGACAGGAGTACCATGTTTGCCACAGCTGCCAAAGTACCATCCCCCGCAGGGATACCCGGCTGGGCGACGACGCATCGAAAAGGGCGGTGATACACCGCCTGATCGACTATTGGATACGAAGCTGCCATGCGAGCAACAGGATGGCATTGAAAGTCGAAGAACACGAGATTGCGGAGTCAGCATGGTCAATGTCTTGCCGCTCAGTTACTCAGCGTGGATGACGAACGCTGGGGCAACATCCCCAGAGAATTCAGCCAGCACAGACATATGACCCGTATTCTGAATCATGGTCCCATCCACGATACCCCAGACTGAGCTGTCCGTCGCTAGGGATGGCCGAAAAGGTTGACAATGATAAAAAGATGGGGTACACAACCGCAGGGAGTTGTGTGATCGTCACTCAAGGATGCACAACATTCCCGCGGCTTTGTCCGGGGTTTAATCGCCACCCAGCACACGTCTTCATCTGTAACAACTATTTTGGGAAGGAGAATGGGCCTCAGCGTAAAAGCACAGAGCGTCTTGCACATTGCGGAATGCGGTCCGAGTCCGGGGGAAAGGTTTAAGGTGTTAAGGTGTCGACTCCTTGCAGCCGATGGAGCTGGCGGATGGTCCTTTCCGCTTCCCCCGGGTTGATTTTCCTGGTTCTTGGTTGCGAGCTTCGTGACAAGGGAGAAAATAGGACTGACGGACGCGTCGACCACCGCTTCCCCGGCTGATCATTTGAGCTCTGCACGGGGTGACCCAAAGATACTTCGTTCTATCACAAAGTATAACCGCCACAACGCACCCACTTAAGGTATGTGGATTGTGGCGCCTTCTGCAAGCTGATGAATACAGTGCATAACTATTGCAGCTGTCCCCATCTGGATGTTATCTACCCAAACTTCGGGGCCCCTCATGCATTGTGACGGATAGGTCTATTTAGGATCTACATACCTCCCACATACCTCTCCACTGTGGCTCAGGCGATGTGGCTAGTACCTGTCTTGTGGCTAAGCCCTCGCTACAGCATGATTCAAGGTAGACTCCACTACTTCAACGATCGGCACTGCAGAAAACAGGTTTCGCCCGGTCTAGCCCTTCGCGACCGAGAACAAAGCGCGATGGCAGATCTACCTCGACAGCCACCGACGAACAAAGATCAGTCGGTCAATCTTGATCCATGCTGTCAATCGTCGATGACCTCACTGAACAGGTCCCCATTCCTTGAATATGAGACACAACATGCCACCGATCGCAAATAATATCCGATAAGTATGCACACGGGATCAATGACGACGGAGTCTCTGAACACGGTGTAGCGGAGCGTACAGAGAGTAGTGTAATGTAGCTTCCGTCTTGTCGTGTTATCACCTATCAAACCCAAATTGTTAATCTGTACAAACCACCAAAAACCCTGATTTCCAACCCAACCATCAAACGCCAATAAGACAGATAAGACAGATAAGACAGACATACATTTCCAAGAAAACGCGTCCAACCCAACCTAAACCAGAACCCAAAAACCAAGAATCCAACGAGCCTCACACGTCGCACAGGCATCCCCGCATCCAACACACCCTCATTATACAATCCAATCCAATATCATATCCTATCATCTTATCATCTCCACAAATCAGATAAAATTAAATACCACAAAACCAATACCAAAAAAAAATAAAATAAAATAAAATAAAATAAAATAAAATACAAATCAAAAATAAACAAAAAAGAGTCCACCGAATAAACAACAAAGCAAGTCTATTGCTGACATTGCATATCCATCAGCCTTGTAAACGGGTCCGCTGTCCTCGTGGTTAGCATTTTGAACCGGACTGGACGCCTTGAGTTTTCTTTGTAGCCGATACAGAGTTTAATCTGCGTTTCGTTTGTATGAAACATGATATCGTTTCTTTCATGGTTTTGGTTGTGGTTGTGGTTGTGTTTGTTACGTGGAAGTTTCTCCTGTACTACACTGGAAGTATAACTATGTACCTATGTACAAATATGCAATAGTAGCATAGGTGTCATCTATAGTCTAGTTGTGGATTATGAAGGAGTATGTATACCTATAGCTATATACTTGGATCTGATATTACATTCTGAAGTTAAGTATATGTACATACAATGTGCTAATTCACAAGTTCCTCGCTTTCCAGCTATCATACCTGAATAAACCCAAGTGCTTCTCCCTATAGATTCTCAACACAACCTCAAAACATATCTCTTTCTACATCGTTCAAATGAATCATTTAAAAAAAATTTCCGCATGGTAAAACTCAGCTTACATCCAATCCCCAGTTTCCATTAACACACCCCGCCATCAACACAAACCCCACAACTCCAACCAGCACAAGACACAGCCACCGGTAGTTACTCGATAAGCTGAGTCATATACCGAGAGAGAAACACGACAGTCTTATAAATCAACTCTCGCGTTGAAGACACTCCCCAAGAAGAATATCCCGGTCAAAGAATACGGTATGCCCAGTTGCAGAGTCATTTCTCTAAGCGAAACGTGCTATATGTTGCTGTGCATTATAACTGGGATCAATGACTGATACCATCATGGTTAATTGATATCTGGGTGGCCCATGCTAGGAGCCTGGGACCATGTTTTCCTGGGATTATTAGTAGTGAGATCTATGCTCTGTTGGTTTAGTAGGTTACTAGACCAGTGACGTAGCTGCAGAAATAGTTTTAATCAGTAATATGAAATGTAGAAGATAAATACCATACCACCCCTCATGCAACATCCTTATCAAAACCAAAACCCAAAACAAATAAAAGATAGCTAAAACAATCACCAAATCAAAACCAGACTCAAACCAATAATTTGAAAATCAGAATAAAAATTAAAAAATAAAAATAAAAGAAGAACCCACATCGGGCCGCCATGTATGTAACCAAGTTCCATTCCAACCCAATGAATCCACCAACAAAGAAAAAAAAAGAAAAAATCTCCGAAACAGAACGCCTCATCTCCACCAAGGAAGCATTCTAGAACGGACGGCCCCTCTTGTTTTGACATGCTCCATATGTGATAAGGCGACATAATGGGGCCGTTTGGTTTTTTGCGGCTGTGTTCGGGTGGGTTTGGTTTTGTGTGCGCTAGCTAAGGTGAGGTGAGATTGAGGGGTTACATTTGCGAGTTTCTTATCGTGGTGGGGAGGTGATGCGATGATGGAAGGTGGGATGGTGTTTGTCTCGGGTTGATTAGGGGTTTGGAGGTTTAGGGGGTTTTGTTAATGGGTTGGTTGTATGGTGTTTTTAGTTTCATGTTGGTTTGGGGTGATACCTTTTATTAGTTTGTTAGGGTGAGGGCTGTGTTTGGGTTGGTGTTTGTTGGTGTATCAGGTTCATTTTGTTTGTTAGTCTGGGAATAAGATAATAATATTCAAAGTTCAACGTTGGATTCTGTTTGTCTGCTATACAGATTAGCGGCTTTTCCTCAGGAACAAGTTGGACATTGTTGGTACGACCTGTGGCAGTGAGGGGTAGGACAAGGGCGTTGGTCTCTTATACTCTATGTTTATGTTTCACCAACCAACAGCTTTATGATGGTCTTTCTCCTGCGCAAGTGCTTATATTTTGTATCGTGGAGATTCATTGTTGTTGTTTTGGGCGTGTTGGTTGGTTATGGTTAAGTCCTGTCGCTACAGTACTGGGTTGGACGTACCTTTAATTGTTATAGCTGGGAATGACTGTTGGAAGTGCTTGGTTCTACAGAGTATATTTATTGATAACTAGGGATAATAAAGGTAAGGAATACTGCTATGCTTTGTTCCTTAGAAGAAGGTAGAATCATAGATAATTACTAGTATTTTATGTAGTATACTGCAATTATATATCTTGCCCGTTTAACGATGACAATCGCAAACACAAAACTGGCTATTCAGCTACGCAGATAAATCTTGATGAATTTGGTCGAAATTAGGAACTCGATTGATTTTGAGTGCTTCAATGAGAAAGAAAGATAAAAAAAAGAATCAAGAGAGAACACCAAGAAATTGGGATTAAAAAAAGAATGACCGACGCAGGGATCGAACCTGCGATCCCTTGCGATCGCGAATGTAAAGCAAGTGCCTTAACCACTGGGCCAGTCGGCCAATTGATGATGTATTGCTCAACTTTCAAAATTGATACTCTTGGTTTCACTTTCGTGGAAGTATCCAAGCAGCTAACATAAGTAGTTGTCGTTGGCCTGACTTCATCAAGATCAAGTAGTTCTCGGGTATGCACCAGCAAGAGAGAGGCAGCAGGTTGAGGTGAGCATATTAATGACATGGGCTCCCGTAGAGCTCATATGAGTGAGCATTGAGGACCACCAAACTATCACGTGATAGTAAACCTTATTAATAAGCGGGAACTATTAATACTGTACATAACTACCTGTAATTTACTTTTCTACTACTCACTTTCTTTTTACTTCCCAATATTCCTTGGAAAATCAAAGCAGTTACGAAGCAGTTGGGAAGCAGTTTCGACATATCCAATTTTTTTTTTCTGGTTTCATGGAGTCTAATAATTCTATTAATGTGGATGGACTTCTTGGTTCGCATTGTGAAAATGACCCAGGTATTGAGGAAACGGTAACTAACTACTTCGGAAGTAGTTTCTAATTGGTTGCTAAGTACTTAATACAGGAACCAGCTTGTCCCATGCCACTCACATATGCTAAAACACCGTGCCCTTACAACGCTGAAACTCAAATATATCGATGATCTACCAGAGTATCCAACAAGTCATATCCATGGATATGCATATGTTGTTTCTGCAAGAGGGCGATCGCAAGCTGAAATGGAGCAAGTTGTGCAGGAGATAAACACTTACTAAGTTTTGTATAACGAGCCAGTATTAACTGAGTAATCCTAGATTCAGTATGCCAAACACCTGACCAACAAGCAGAAACGACCAATGTATTGCCCGTTTTTCAAATGCAAAGCTAAGAAATGGACCTGGAAATGCTCAGGGATCTATGCATGTGAATTCTTGAATCCTTTGCTTGGATCGCTTCATCATACCTCTGTAGATGAAAGTATGCTACAGGAAATTCAAAAAGCCCAGGGTGAGACTCAGATCTTGGGGAAAAATCCTGGCAAGCGAAATGCGTACAAGTATGTCTAATACCCCGAACTACCTATAAACTAATTACTAACTACGTATAGTTATTATCGGTCGAAAGTGAATCTCTTCAAAAGAGGCCATTCCTGTATCGACCAACTTCCTACATGTAAGCCGGTATTCAAGAGATCTAGTCAAGTGGTAAGCCTCGAGTGTTCTATAAGTGACTTTCGAGTACTCTCTAACTGCTCTAGAATCCTTACGGCGAATGTACATCCTTATTGGCTGTACAAATGACTCCTCTACTATCATAACGAAACATCATAGAGGAGTAATACAAGGTCATATAGGTATCGACTTACAGTTTCTTGAAGATCTTTTTAACAAAGAGATTCTACCAGCCACTGAAGATTGTGGTGTTTTTGAGCCTCTATCATCCCGACGGAAACATTGTGGTAGGTTACTTAGTAAGGGTTTAATGACCGGTTACTGAATACTTAAAAGATCGAGATCATCCTCAAGGACCAGGACGATTAAAGCATACAACCTGTGATGTTGTTTTTAATGCCCTAGTTCCAGTGGATATCAGTCAATGTCCATATATCTTATTTACATCGCATGGTGTGCATAAACATCCACCACCGCCATCGACTAAACCACCTCGTCATATGAGTCGAGAGGGCAAGTGCTTTGATTCATTTTCAATAATTAATGAATCGTTATTAACTATATTGTTGATATAGCTAGTCGCAAACGCCGACGTTCTTCATCATCTAGTGTCTCTGAAGGCCAGTCCGCTTTACCACAACCCCAGTCATCTCAGAGAAGTTCAAGATCCGCCTCCCGATCTACTTCACAGAATGGTGATCACGAGTATGTCTCCAAGTACTTATCATCGCCTAAGATATACTTACCAATCGATTAGGTCCATAAGATCCTCTCAGTATCCTCGCCGTGTTGCGTCACTAAATGCTTTGACTTCAGAACAGAGACGCGAAGAGCTTGAGCTTCGAAAGCTTGAGGCATATCGTAAACAAAAGGAGGCAGAACTCAAGCAATTAGAAATGGAAATCGAAAAACAAGAGGAGGAAAATCGTTTAATGCAGCTCGAGAATGAAAAGCGGCGGCTCGAGATTGACAAGCAATGGCTTAAGCTTATGGAGGAGGGGATTCCATTTTCAAGGTCAAGAACGTCAACACATTAGGTGATATTAAGTGCTTTAACAGTAGTTGAACAGTAAGTGAAAAGGATTATCAATATATCCTTATAATACATAATATAGAATAACTGAAATAAATTTGTTTCCAACTTAAGCCTGCTTATAGCTACTATTGATTACATGACCACTAAGAAACCTGTATCAGATACTTCTACTCGCCCGACAGAAAAGACGACCCCGACTCATCTGAAACCACCATCAAGGCTGATACTAAAGCTTCTTCATCCTGTCGCTGTTATTTTTATGAATTTGGACCCCATGTTGTGTACGCAAGGTGAGACGGAGGGGTGGGGTAGACACCGAACAGTTAGACCGCTAGTGAATAACAAGGCTTGCAGATTATCATTTATTTTACCTATTAGTTAGATCTATTGGGGGTCCTCTGAGTGGGGCTATGCTCTTGTTAGATCACAGTCGTGCATATCTGAGATGCATAGTATTGGAAACGCACATCGGCACGTGGGCGCTTTACTGGAGGGAAGGAGAGTGGCTTAGCTTCTACTTCAATAGTATCTGTACGGACACGAATACCTCCGATTACGCCTGACCAAGTAATAGTTTACACGACTATCGAGGTAATATGAGCAAGGTGAATCGCGTAGATCGGTTAATTCATTTTGCCAACTAGTACTTTGTACCGGCTGATCGGCCTAGCTCTTCAAGAACGATCAACTGAGTTTACCCGTCGGGTAATAGGCTGAAGCGCTACGTATTTCTGCTAAATACTGATCTATAGCATCGCATTCGCAGTCATGGAGACTCGGCGGTGTATGGAGTGCGATGTATCGGATTTTGCGAGTGCATTTCCTTACTAATCCTCTTATTATCGTCGCCTTTTCATTAAATATATGTGAATCTTTTGCCCGCGTTTCATTATAACATGATTAGTTTTATATTGAATAAATGCTTCTTTAACGCGCTGAAAGGTGATGTTATGATAGCATCGTTTAATATAATACCAATTACTATGGTAATTCTATATCATCCCGCTAAACTGTAGCTCGCCAAGGAGAGTGATTGCACATGAAGACCATACTATCCCTTTCACGATCTCCGTAGCCAGCCGGTTAAAGATGAAAAGCATAGAAAAGGTGATGGGAATTCCCTACTACGCATATGTTTATCCTCATGGTCATATTTCATTTTACTACCCTCAAGCCAATAATCTCGACGGCGTTCACGCCACGCTGAAGTGCGACCGAGAAAATTCAACGGATTAAGCCAAAGCAGTATCTCATCTGAACGCATACTCAATGGAAGTTGGTGAAAGTCTGCGGAGGCCGTAGGCCCGTAATGGCCGGTTTTCCGATGATTCTAACTTCCAAGCATATCTCTAAATCTCATATAAAGACGATCTATTTCACTATTTACAGAATGATCTGGGCTTCTGACTATCGCGCTGTTACAGATCGCTGGGATTGCGGCCAAGACGCGGAAGTCTAGCTCGTTATGTCCATAGTTGAGGATTAAAAAGGAAGGAGAAGAGTAAGTATCTCTATGGATATATACAATCCAAGACAGATCCAGATGGGAACAGACGTTCCAACATTAGTATATGTCAATGGTGCCACAAGTGAGTCAAGCTTGCCGGTGGCCCGATGTTCAGTCTGCATCACCTGGGCTGTATATCTATATACCACATTAGTTTCAAGGCATAACATGGGATTAAGAAGAATTGACTTGCGCATAAAAGGCAGCGCATATGGCAGTATTCCCAAAACCGAGCATGCAAGAGAAAACGAGATTCTGCGTCTCATTTATGATACTGGCGAAAGCTCAGAGAAAGCAGCTGCGGCCGCGGCAGTAAAGCAAAAGGCTGGCTTATACCCCAAGCGAGGGATAAAAGTGACACATGTCGTGACAATAGTCCAAAGATGCCAATAATAGATGAAATAGCAAGATCTCGGTGTATCTAGTTGCAACCAGAACCTCCGGCTGGGAGGCTCCCTATGTAGATAGTATGGAACATTGTATAAAGAGGATATATTCCGAACTATCAGCAACAGAAACCCGAAAAGAATAGGACCAACTTACGCGCTGTCATCCATTCTAGGATCGACGTCAATACTGTTGTCGGTTTTGCTTTAATCGCCATTCAACTCGGCCATGTCAAGGTTACACGAATTCCAAACCTCGCCACTTTTAGGGCTTGACGGGCTCTCACAATCATTCATTATGGCAAACAACAGAAGCCTAAAAACATATTTTTGAAGTAAATGGGGACTCTTCCTACATGATATAGCTGCAGCGTTAAATAAAGTTAATTTACTTGGTCTAAAGGTCTTGCTTTATAGTTGCCCTAGGATAATGAATGGGTTAGTTCCGTGTTAGACACAGATGATATGGTTACTACTTACAAGTGATTCAGAAAATTGCCCATCTTGCAAACCTATGATTAAGCTACAAAAAGTAACACATGGCATCTTAGATCGCCTTTGTTGAAACAGCTATAGTTACTTCAGAAACCAAAACCAACGAGAGTCCCGGCTCGTGTTTCCTTGCACTAAATAGTATTCGTCAGACCATTGCATGCGAACGTGCCCACTTCTAGTATTTATACTTATGAGAAATCAATTCTACACGTAGACATTGCTTCGTCTAGCCCACTTAAGGTCATCCGTCCGATCAATCAACTCGCTTTCAATGTTATTGTTGCCTTCCGAAATCTCAGAGCCAGGGGAAATGGTCGATGAACTAGTGCCGGAACCGAAGCCAAGGGTGTACATCAGTCTCGAATTTAGAATATCATTTAAGGCACACTCCAGACTCCTATATGTGTTGATGTAGGAAAGTTTAAGCTGATCATCAGCATGGTACTCTTGATT